CGCCGAGCTGGCGGTGAACCAACAAGCAGGCCACGTGGGGTCCCTATGGCAGGAAGGGGTGGATGAGTGGGCTCCTACGCAGGTAGGCCGACTGGAGAGGGGTGTCTGCCAGACCAGCAAAGCCCCCTCTCTGTTTTCAGGATACTGGAGACAAACTTTCTGCCACAATTAGATGTCGCAGCCTGGTTTTCCTGAATGCAGAATTCAAAAAGGAAAGAAGAGAGAGTGATCAGAAGCTTCTAGTATTTATAGCGGTCTGCCATGTTTGTGGTGGCTCTCCCTTGGTCCGCGCACACATCTGTACCCCACGCTCCGCAGGGCCTGCCCCAGCGCTCTGCCAGTGGGAGTGAGCTGTGCTGCAAATCCCACTTGGAGGCTTCCAGGCCCCCTGGCAATTTGTGAGCTCTGGGAGTGGGCAGGGGCCATCTGCCGGCTTTGAATTGCTGGCGCTTGGAAGGCCAAGGGCAGGGCTGAGCGGCTGTGGAGGTGGTTTGGGAAACGTCAGAGTGATCTTAACAGTGGGTTTAGGTGGCCGAGCACCTGTGACTCTTACAAAACTTATAATTCACAAGCCCCAATCAGGCAAGTTGTGTTTTTCTCTCTGTCTGTCCTGAGCCTCCTATGACCAAAGCCAAACACACTGTGTATGTGCAGTTTCCATTTTTTCGTAACTGCAGCAGAACCTGAGGACGTAACGCTTGTGATTCCAGGTGCCGGTCACGTTTGATGACATTTCGGTGTACTTCAATGAGCAGGAGTGGGAGAGACTGGACAGCTGGCAGAAGGATCTGTACAGGGCTGTGATGAGGGGGAACTATGAGACCCTGATCTCCCTGGGTAAGGCACAGACTCTAATCTCGCTGGGTTTACTCCTCTGAACGAGCCTCTTTTCAGCGTAGGCTGCAGTGTTTCCCACTGCGGTCTGTCTGTTGGTCTGCCTTGTGGGGCTGGATGCCAGTAGCTGGCAGAACCTTTCCTGGGTGGTCAGACCCAATCATTTTCCCTCTGTCCTGCTCATGAGCAATGAACAATCTCTGTAAGAGATATGCATAGAAATTATAATGATGATGATATAAAAAATATCTAGTACAAACAATATCCGTAACAGATGCCGTTGCTAATGACTGCATAAGTAGATTGCAGGGTCAGGGAACCATCATGATCTTCCAGCACAGTTCAGGAATTTTCTGGCTGAAGTCTGATGACTGCATATTAAACTAGTTCTTGTCTTCTGTCTATTTAGCCCTGATTTAAAGTAACAGGGATCTTATCAATGTTTATCTGATGGGAGGCTGTAAAGAAGATGGAGCCAGACTCTTAGTGGTATCCAGTGACAGGACGAGCGGCAACGGGCACAAACTGAAACACAGGACATTCCTTCTGAACACAGGAAAACACTTCTTCACTGTAAGGGTGGTTTAACATTGGAAGAGGTTGCTCAGAGAGGCTGTGGAGTCTCCATCCTTGGAGATACTCAGAACTTGACTGGATACAGTCCTGGGCAACCTGTGCTAGCTGACACTGCTTTGAGCAGGGGGTTGGACTAGATGACCTCCAGTGGTACCTTCCGATCTCAAGTATTCTGTGATTCTGTAATAGGGATATTCCCATGTGCCTTGATAAAGAACTGGCTTGTTTGTGTTTGGTCCTCATAAGGAAATCTGACATGTTTTTGGATGATTTGGGCTATAAGATATTCCCCATCAAAAATTGTTTCATGGGCACCACTAATAACGCGCTGGTCTGTACAGTTACTGGTGAGGTGAGGCTTTCCATTTCACAATGATATTCTCTAGAAACAGAAAAAGCCTGTTCCTCTCATGGTCCATCAGACATGGACATCTCTACAAAGCAGGAATTTCTCTGTCCCTACTTCAGACCTAAATTCATCTGATAACAATAGCACAAAAGAATTGTTCTTTAAATCATTACTGAAGTTGAAATGGGGGGGGGGGTTACCTAAAGACAAAGCCTCTCCCTCTCCTTTGCGATTTCCAGTCACATTCCATTATTTAGATTTTCTCTGTACTTGAG